ACATTCTCTCATATTTTTAATCAAACTGATTTTTCTAATATGTGTCATTTATATATTTCCATAGATTAAAGAGTTGGAAAGTAGTAGCTCGGTTTCCATAACAGGTCGTGTGTCCCCAATGGAAGATGGAGGAGGTATTAAATTTTTCATTAATCTGTACTGACATTAAAGTAAGCCAGTAGGCCAAAAGGGGCCGAAAGACAATTTTGTGCATCCAACACATTTTTATGCCCACTCCTGGTGTAAGCTGATTTTATTTGAAATCATCATTATTGGCGAGCAGGGGGTTAGCCAAACAAGGAATAAAAAAGTCTTACCTAATGTGAGGTCTCAACAAAATAAGTCACTTATTTGGGGAATTGAAAATTAAGTTTAAGGTGTAATCAAATTGATCACTATATAAGCATTAATTTGGTTTTCAAATTACTTTCCTAGAGGGGATTTAAGGGTATGAGTGTTCAGAGGTTACATGCATTGGAAGTGATTTAAATTTACAGTGCATACTTCACCAGTGTCTGTGTACACAGTATACTTCTTCACCCAAGTAAGTGTACTGTGTACACGAAAGCTGAGTCAATAACTATCGCAACTATTCGTCAACACCCTACGTTTGCCCAGACTGGTATAGGTCATCATATATATTACGTGATAATACTTCGCGTCCAATCCAGGACGCATCATCAGGCCAACTGTTCTTCTGTGGCTAATGGTTGTTGACCTGTCACGTCAAATGGAATTTTGAATTGTACATATTTCAAATGGGCTTTTTTGATCAATTTTGTAATGTAATGAAATTGATATTGAATAGTGATAGTTATATATATGAATTCCTTAAATATGAATGCTCTGCCTCCCATTTGGTCTTATGTATTTCTTCATCTTTATTCATATGCCTTTTTTCATACACTTCAGTTGCCATGAAATTCCATTGCATTTGTTCACTACTATAAATACTTCTAAAGTGCTTACAAGCATTGTTACACTGAAGATGGCATTTGCACTGCTGAAACATGTTTGTGCCAAGAATTTTTATAATAAAGCAGTTAGGCTCAGCCTAAATTGTGTCATTGA